GTATATATATACATTTTAAAATGAAAATCTTTGCAAATGATCCCATCTCAAACCTAGCTTCTGTTGCTTTATAAGTTTTATACAGACAAATGTTATTCCACTACACTATTCTTCTTGTTTTTTACCTGAAAAATTACTAATAGAAGAAATTATCTGCAGTGTATAAAATGAAAGAATAGCTACAGCTTCCTTCTTACCTTTCTCTTCAATCTCCCCTTCTTTTTTTAGGTGAAAAGCATTCATCACTATAGAAAGGAGTATTTGTTCTCCACAAATTAAATATAAAATGTGTACAAGACATTTTTTCCCCCTTGAAGCTTTTTAACAAAGAAATATAATCACCAAAAATCCAAAACATGAATGATTCTGACCATGTAAAAGTCCTAGCATGCTTGTTCTTTGTCAGCTTATGTCTTGCATACAATGCTCAGAGTGAGCGTGGATCCAAATCCATCTGCATATTTTTGTCACCCTGCTTTTGTTTGCAGAGGCATTAAGAACGTCTGAAAGGAGAAAACAAATCGTTTTATTGTGAACAGACAAGCATTTGCCTGCTGTGGTTATGGTTTTGTTGTATAGGGACAGTCTGAGTGTAGACAAAGATAAATGAACAGTTCATTTTCAAATGTGATGCATTATTTTGTCAGTTATGCCACCTGTATTACTCAATTTGGGTTTAATCTTTAAGCAAGACTTTCCACTGAGCTCTCCCTGTTTAAATGAATTTACAGTAAGACAGCATAGATCATGATTTCAAATGAAATCAACTGTTGTCATTAATCCATTTTAGTAACATAGATAAGTTGTTTTTCTTTTAAAGCTTCAATAAAAAATCATTTCACACATTTTTGAAGCTCTGTCAGTGATCAGAGAAGGAAAAATACACACTTTTCTCATTTTCTCAGCACTCTTAACAACATTAAAGGGTGTGACTATCTAATCAGTTTTTCATCAGTTTCTTTTTTTCCCTGCCTGTCACCCTCCCGTGGTCATTGTTTCTGCTTTGTCTACAATTTAATATTTTTATATTTATCTAATCTGGCTGACTCTTATCTTTTTCTTCTTCTTCTTCTTCTTTCTTTTTGGGTCCCTTTTTCTGTTGTTGTCTCTTTCAGGTATAGGCATTCAGGATGGTAGTGCAAAGAAGGACGAGGACTTTAAGGGGAAGTCCCAGAGGCAGGTCCAGTTTAACCCTGGACAGACCAGAGCCACGTGGCGCATTCAGATCCTGTCTGATGGGAAGTACGAGCAGGCCGAGACCTTCCAGATTTTGCTTTCCGAGCCGGTGATGGGAGCGATGGAGTTCCCCGTGACGGCAACTGTTGAGATCCTGGACCCAGGCGATGGTCAGCACTGCTAATGCACAAAACACTTTCTGCATTCAGCACACACGCACGCACACACAGACACACACACACACACACACACACACACACACACACACACACACACAC